GTTTCTGGTGGCTGTCGTTATGGAATGTGTTCCTTGCTGTGTATGCGTCGTCGTGTTGTTGAGTTTTTGTTTTTGATTGTTAAGTTTTCGCTTTGTGTTATTTTTTTTGTTAAGTTTTAGTTTTACTCTGTTGTTATGTTTGTGTTTGTTTGCGTTCGTGTGAACACAACAATAATGGAGGCAGAAAAAAGACCACGCCTTGCAATGTCCATAACCGAGAATATTATGGTAATGAATGTCAAATGAAAAACAAGCATACATTTCAAACTTGGCCACAAAATGAATATAGGTCTTTGTGCGAGTGTGCCAATAAAATGGCTGAGATTTTGGGATAGCTGAAAGAACCGTTCGAAGAATACTAAGCCTGAGTAAAAACAAAAGTCAATGTTAACCACTGATATCGAAAACAAAACATAGTTTCTGTTCCTAATATAAAGAATATTGTAAGATGTTTCTTTTACGTATTTTTCTATGGGGCCATTCCCATTTCCTCGTAATTTTTGACTTGAAATATTTTATGACTCAAAATTATTCTATAAAGTTAAATTCTTCAACCCAAAAGGGTATTTTCCCATTATAATTATTCAGTCAGAATAGTGTGGAACCTGTTAATAAACGAACGTGAAAAAAAGTTTATGATCTATGAGATGTCACTTTGATAGTGACACTTGTTTGTTTAAATTTTTGGACTTTGACTCCATCTCAGAGTTTAGTACGGGCTGGCGATGCGCGTTGTGAATGATTTCTATATTCGACTCGTAATTACCAGTGATCGGAATAGGTAGACTATTTTTACCTAACGTTCGAGGAACAGAGCCAGAAAGCGGAGACTTCCTTACGACAACATGTCTTTGTCCCGGATTTCTTCGAGATTCGGGACATCATTTAAGTACATTAAAAAATCACTTTATCTGGGATAGGTAGACGAACTATATTTATCTAAACTTCACAACCACCAAATTACAAAATTCATGAAAAAAAATATAATTATTAAGACATATGTATATGCTTAGAATAATAACGCATAGAATGATAGTTTCATATCAAACTAACTGTCATAAGTGAGGCAAAAATCAACTTCATGTAGGCTAGTTTTAGTAGTAGGTTAATTTTTGGTTTTAGTGAATATTTATATAAAAATACAAGTTGAAACGCATTACTTTCTTGTGGAATGTGATGTTAGTATCTATTTTATGTTTGTCTGACGTATTTTTACACTCATTTACCGCACATTTCGTCATTTTTAGCTAAAATTCTTGAGCTGTTCGCGGTGCAAGTTGACCTTGAGTACTGAAGGCCCGCCCGTTCGTGTAGGCCCGTTGGGAGCGCTTCAATTTGCCTCACTTAGCGTGTGCGGACTAGTTTTCTATGCGTTATTATTCTAAGTATATATGTATGCCAAACGATAGTATTTATCATAAAACTGTCGGTTGAATCGAAACTTTGTATACATCTATTGCGTGTAACTTTTTTTTTGGAAAGTGCCCTTGATTTGTAAGAAAACAAGTTTTAATATTTTGAACATGGCATATAAATATACTTAAAGCTGGTAAAAACAACAACTTTTTATTCTATACAAATTCAAAATATAAGATATGCATCAGAGAAGGAATTTTGACCTTTATGGGAGTTACGTTGCGGAGATTAGCATAACCATAGCGTAACCATGGTAACCATCATTATAGATCAAACGACAAAAAGATTTTACTCCAAGTTCGCTAATGACATTTGCCTCTTGCCTTTTCTGATCAATAATTTAATTAAAAACCAAGTGAAAAAAGCGCGCGCGGAAATTGCTTGCGATTTTCGATTTGTTTTTCTTTTACCGGTCTGTGGCACTCCTCTTAAAAGAGTCACTGAATTTAAGAACACCTAAGTCACTGAGTCATTTAAAGATGATCTAAAGATAAACAGAGACCGAAGGGCGCTGGCAACGAGGGGCAACATAATAATGACCCGTAAGTTTGCGAGGTGTACTGATAACGATAAGATTGTGATATTTAAATGATACTGTCAGCCCTTCTACACATGCAGCCTATGGGCCAACGACACCCATAAAGCTTTCGGCGCCCTACAAGGTCAGGATGTTGTTGAAGCTGCCACGCTTCTCCAGTGAATAGGGAATGTTTTACTAAATCTCATGGCACAGAATGGCTTCCTTGAAGCGTAGAATTCCCGGCAGCGGTAACAGCCTATTGAGTGTTATTCCATTCAGATTCCAGGGCTTGTTTCACGAGCAATTGGATTCGAATGCATATCAATGAGAGAAAGAAGAGTAATTATTTGTGTTACTAAACTATTTTTAAGTATTCTGTTACTAACCCTTATGGATGAATGTTCAAAATAAAAGAATTTTGAATTTGAATTTATCAATTCGAAATGTCGTCGCATTAAAAGAAACTGGGAAAATGAACTGAGTTCAACATAATATTAATATTGTTACCTATTTTACCAAAATCAAAAAACCACACACGTACCGAAGTTCATCTTACTGTTCACAAAACTTCTACCACGCTTCAACAGGAAGCGAGTCTAAAGGGAATAAGATAAAAAACAGTGTGAGGATTGCCAGTCTGCTGACAAGGCCAATTTATTTGTGTTACGAACGGTTTCCCTCGGGCATTATTTCGAGCATTACCTAGACAGAGGTGGGACGTGGTATAAATATAGATTTATTACGAAGACAACATTTGAAACCGGCTGGTAAATGACAAGAGAAATTAATTTAATTGCCTTGACGACCTCGGTAGCCTAGTCAGATTTACATTGATTAAAGAGATCATGATTTCGATTCCTGGTAGGATCTGAGTATCGTATCGTATCCTTCTACTTAAGTTGTGTTTGTATTATCTGTAAAAGAAAGCCAGCACAGGAACCTTATTCAGTCAGGTCTTGACCCTATCAGTTCGTTTACACAGGCTTCATTCGATACTCAAAAGGCTAGTAGTGCCTTGACTGAGCGTTCTGGTAGTACCATATTTTTAATATCTTGGTATTCCAAGGATGGGACGAGTAAGTCGTGTCTGGTGGCAAGTAACACGTCTGTCCATAACAGTTGCAGTCCAACTCAGAGGTTTAAATCACAAAGATCTGGGAGGCACTACCACTGTGCCCATCACACTGAAATACATCTACTGCTGGGCGTAGGCTTGCCCCAAAGATCGCCACAGTGATTCACGGGATTCCCGCAACCTTATTTATTTATTTATTTATTCAATAGTTTATTGTACAGGAAAAATACAACAAGTCACAAAGAATACAAGCGAAATTAAAAACAAAAGGTTCTGCTTAACCTTCAGTCGTCGTCGGCAATTTTTTAATGACGGGACGAACAAGTCGTGTACCTGGTGTTAAGCGACACGCCTGTCCATAGCAGTTGTAGTGCCACTCAGAGCTTTAAATCACAAATATCTAAACGATATTGACACTGCGCCAGTCACCCTGAGACGTAAGTTGCCAAATCCCGTGTAATATCATCAGCACCCTTAAAAACCGGAACGCAGTAATATTCACATTACTGCTTGGCGGCAGAAATAGGTAAAGTGGCAGTACTTCCCTGGACAAACTCTTTCGCAAGAAGCTCTACTGTTAATACCAATTTGGGAAATGAGATTTTCTAAATTGATTCTGGTCTTAAATGTTCTGGGTAGTGGATTCCGTCGATTTCATACTTAAAGTACAGGAAATTCTCTACCTTACCAAGTAATTGCTACATTTACCCATTTACTCACTTACTCCGATGGCCTGAAGTGGGCCTCGGCCTCCGACACGAGTTGGCGTCAAGTCGTCCTTTCTTATACGATCTCCCAGTTCTCCGTTTGCAGGGCGCGGAGGTATTTTTCCACTTCGTCCTTCCGTAGGTATTTGAGCCGACCAACCAGCGCCAACAGAGTCTTGCGGACTTGATTTCTCCGATGATTATGGGGTCAGACACGATGTCTCTAACATCTAGTTTTTTCGGATCCTCCAGCTACTAATCTTCTTCCCTCTGCGTCGGTCCGAGAATCTTCCAGAAGATTTCCCTTTCGACACAGTTGTCTAGCATATTATTTTTATTATTATTATGTTTTATGTGTTTAACTCCTGCGATTAGTCGTCATGCGTAATGAAGGAACGAGACGATTCTCGTGACGATGCTGTGTGTAGGTACAATAATTTTATTTACAATTGTTAAGCAATATAAACACTGTCGATGAAGTTAACTCAGGACTTTCTTATTCCATAAAGTACGGAGCGTATAAGTTTTAATTGGGCTAGTTACTTATTGTTTGATGTTTCTTTCCAGTTGAAATATAAACTACATATCGAGTTACAACAACAATAATACAAAGATAAATTTCTTACAAAAAAATGTCTTGGAACTTACAATACTCGAACCTGCGTCTGTGCCAAACAAGTGCCACCACCAGACTAGTGGAGTAATTTCACAAAAATGTAAAATTAATATCATTGTACCAGCTGAGTGAGAAGCTTCTTAGATCTCATATAGATGTCGCTTAAGGCGATAAAAGCCGAACAAACCCAATACGAAGTATCTGTAAGAAACATTTAAAGAAATTCATAAGGACAGTTGACTATAGCTCAATTGGTAGATCGGTGGCCCCGGTTTGGCACGGACACAAATGTTCGAGTCCTGTCAGATAAAAATCAATATTACATAATAATATATAGAGTTCTTAGATTTTCACGATTAGTACACATTGGAAATAAAACTGTTTTCTGTCAGGCCAATCTGCCGTGACGCTGTAAACAGCCCGAAACGTTGATTTGTTTGAAAAAACAAATGTACTCGATTTAGATCCGAAAAACTAGTTTCATTTCGTATAAAAACTGCGGCAAATTAGAAAGAACACAAATTTATAATTTCGTAGTATATGGTTGTATGATAGAAAGTTGCTATTCCATTAGTAGTTTCCCTATCGTACAAAACTTCATTCTGTAATATTTTTTGCAGAAAAAAAAGATTTTTTTACGTATATAAACACATTTTTTATCTCCAGATGATGACAACCCTATCGTGACGGGCAACGAAGTGACCCACCTGGCAACTCTGCCGGAGGAGGAAGCGGTAGTCGCCATGATGGGTCTGCCGCGGGCCGGCGACATCACCAGAGCCCAACTTAGGATCAAGGAGAGTAAAGAATTCAAGGTATGTTTAATATGCTGTGGGCTTTATAAAGGGGAACTCAGTAGGAACGTGTTCTTTGAAACAGGTCACTAAACTTGTTGGCGACCAGCTGTGGCGCAGCCTCCTTCGTTTTTGTACTTCTTTTTTAAAATTTACATTCGATTTATAACATACTTTTTGACTGTTTTTGTTTAGCAATTTGTTGGCAGTTGCTTCCGCTGCGCTGACATGTTTGGTTTCATATTCAATTTTTCAAATTAAACGTGTTTTAATCTGCATATAAAGTGTTTCCATCATAGTGCATACATTTATACAGTCCACTCGCCAATGAAACTGTTTTTTTTTTATTTTAAATTCTATTGCACACAAAATAGAACAAATAGTGGACTTACACACTTATTTTCCGTTACACATTCTTTGCCAGTCAACTGGAGAGCTAGGTCTCACAGGCGTTGCACGATATGTTGCAACAAGAGTTTAGATTCCACACAAATATGATTCAAAGTGTATTCCATAGCATTTAAGTTTATTTGAAAAGAGCAATCCCTAGAGTTTCTTGCTCGTTCTTCTCAGGGAGGCCAGCGTAGAGAAACGGGCAGTAGTTTAAAAGTAGCTTAAAAAATGACGTTTTCAAGTGTAAGAATTTTACTAATGGAATAAATGATTATTTGACGGTGACAATTGAAAATATCGCACTGCTATTACAATAGTGTTGCAACTCAAAATATGTGAAATTCAAGATTCTATCATTACTGAGCGTAAAATTCGAATCTCTACAAGTCAATAAAACCATCGTTAGAATATTGTAAGAAGCAATTTAAATATATCTACTTAACTCAAAATGAGACACATTTTATGTGAGCTACTTCTGGGCAAAACAGGCCTTATTAAATATGAAATTATTGTTGTCCTTTTATTCTTAAATATATTTACAAGTAGAAAATTGTTTACCATGTCTATAGTAAACTATAACCTTATATACATTTTAATGATCTTTCACGGGAAGTACGTAATTATTTTTTCATAGATTCTCAGAAAATACACTTTTTGAGTTAATAGACTATTCTGTTACACAATAGACTATTCTGTAACAGTGCGATATATTTATAGGATCTAATTATGTATTATGTTATTTATATTGGGATTTTATTCTTACAAATACAAAATTTCTAGGTAAGTTTGTGTTTTTTCCTACCATGAAAATTTTTAAGAATCGTGTTTTCACATGGTATACTAATCCGTGTGTATCTTCAATTTTATTATATATTTTTTCCAAAGCAATTGATTCAACAATTTCACTGTTATACAGAATCAATCCAAGTCATTTGATGTACTCTAAGAGCTTCTGCCCTTAAGGGCAGAACTAGAAAATACTTTGCCTGAAAATTAAAAACGATTACAACTTTTTAGAAAATAATGCAAAATATTTAGCAATCTACTATATGATCGTGATTTGGATGAGTGAGCTAGACCAGACTTAATGTACTAACAAAGTTTGGTAAACAAACTCAATGTACAAGAAGTATAAAGAAAACCGCAGAAAAACAACGGACAATAACAAACATATGTAACGAAAGCGTAAAATAAATGTTGGATAGAAAGAGTAAACAGTTTAAACATTTTAAATGCAAAAATACACAACACGATTTGTGTTCCCACAAACACAACAGCTGCGGTTCGCTGTTTAAATCTCCCAGGCGCCCACTCACGAGACGGCATGGCAGAGAATTTTTAGATGACA